GGTTTATTTAGACGACAGGAACACAGTCCAAGACAGGTCTTGCAGGTACAGACAACAGACCCCCCCCCCAGTTTGGTCCATCTTGGGGTCCCAGGGCACCACAGCCCCATTGGGGGGTCAGAGCCCCGTCTGGGCTCCCCTCCATTACACCAGCCAGCTCCTGAAACTCTCACTCTCCCCAGCATCTCCTCCCCCAGCCTTTGTCCAGTTTCCCGGGCAAAGATCTCACCTGGCCCAGCCCCCTCCTGGGTTCTCATGTTACATGCTCAGGTATCTTCCCTCAAGGCCAGTCTCCCATCCCCCAATGCAGACCGTCCTAGCCACACTCCCCTGCCTTCCCAGGCCAACACTCCCCACCCAGCATTCAAAGACCACATTAAGAACAGTCCCAGTTCGTCACACCCTGTAACAATGCTGCCTTTGGAAGGACACAACTGAAAATATCAATTCAGGACAAATTGCTTAGAGCAGGGCAGTGTGACGTTAGGAGTGTGATATAATATTTCATTGGAAGGTGACAGGGCCAGAAAGAGTTAATTACCTCACGGAGTGACCTAATCCATGGCCGAACTGTAGAAACTGGTTAGGAAGATCTGTAAAGGAATAGAGCTTTGAAATGCAGCCGGCATTGTTAGAGATAGAAGGGGAGATGTTTGCTCAGGTCTTGTGATATCAGCAAACAAGTCTTGTCCATTGCTATAGCTTTGATTCAAAGATTAAAAAAGGAGTATTAGTATTTAGAAAGACACTTGAGTGGAATAGTATTATTGTCTCTATGTCTCTTTGAAGGTAAAAGAAAAAGGTTCTCCTGATCCCAAAGGACCAAGCCCCAGACCCAGGTCAAATGATAAGTTAGATCTTACCCAAATACATGCTACAGCCAATTCTTATTAACTAAGCTAAAATTTATTAAAAAAGAAAAGAGAGAGAGAGTTGGTTAAAAGATCAATCTACAGACAGACTTGAATTCAATTCTTGAGGTTCAGATACATAGCAGAGATGGTGAGTTTGTAGTTGCCAAAAGTCCTTTTAGAAATAGTCCAGAGGTTATAGTCCAATGTCCATATTCAGGGTGGCTCCAGTCAGTGACTGGGGATCTCAATCCTTGTGGCTTAAGGTTTCCCCCTCTTGAAACCCAAAGCAGATCTGAGATGAAGCAGGATCATGTTCTAGGGTTCTTATACATTTCCAGCAGCCTTTCGGCCTGAGAAAACAATAGACTTAACTCTCCTTCTCCCAAACATCCTGGCAATTAGCCCAGGGTAATTTATCCATTAAACAGTTCAGATACAGGTTACCACGACCTTCAAAGAGACATAGAGACAATAATACTATTTCCCTCAAGTGTCTTCCTACATGTTAATATTCCTTTTTGATCTTTGAATCAAAGCTGTAGCAATAGACAAGACTTGTTTGCTTACATCACAAGCCCTGAGCAAACAGCTCCCCTTCTACCTCTAACAATGCAGACTTGCATTTCAAAGCTCTATTCCTTTACAGATCTTCCTAACCAGTCTCTACAGTTCGGCCATGGGTCAGGTCAGTCTGGGGCAGTAATTAACTCTTACTGGCCCTGTCACCTTCCAATGAGCTATTATCTTACACTCATAACGTCACACCCCCACCCCGAGCCTCAGATGCCCCACAGGGGTTAACGCACCTGAGTAGCAGGGGTCAGGTCCCAGGAGTGGCCCATGGGTGGGTCCTCTGGAACAGCCCAGCCCAGGGGGGTCCTGGGAGCTGCCTGCCGGGTGGCGGAGGGGGAGAGCTTAGGGGGGTCCCGGGAGCAGCCTGCCAGGTGCGTGATGCCCCCCTCTCTCGCCAGGCCCCCATTCCACAGCGCCGAGCCCCAGAAGATCTACAGCAAGATCCTGGATGGGGTGTTCTCATTCCCGGCCTACGTGAGCGAGGCCGCCTGCTCCCTGGTCTCCAAGCTGTGCCGGTGCGTGGACTGGGCACGGGCTGCAGCTCCCTGGCACTGCCGCGTGCCCACGGCTGCAGGGTTGGCGTGGTGGGTGCTCGCCAGCCCACAAGGCCGGCTGTAGAGGGCTCCAGGGTCTGACCCGGGGGAGGTGAGGAGGGCCAGGGGGGCACCGGGCTCGAGACTCCCTGCCCTCCCAGCGAGCCTGTTGCTGAGCTGTGGGCAAAGGGCTCCTCCGGGCCCCTGCCGGTGCCATGTGAACCTGCCGGGCAGGGGCACGGCTGGGTGGGTTGCGGGGGGGGGGAGGAGTGACAGGGGCCGCACTGAGCCTGTTCTCTGCCCTGGTGCAGGCTCCGGCCGGGACAGCGCTTGGGCAACACCAGCACCGGCATCCGCGGCATCAGGAAACACAGGTAGGAGAGGGGCCAAGGGAGACGGGGAGCCCCCCACGGCCAGGGCCCCCCTCCAACCCCACAGCCAGGGCCCCCCTCCGTCCCCGCAACCCACAGCCAGGGCCCCCCTCTGGCCCCGCTCCCCACAGCACCCCCCCCAGCCACGGTTCCCCCCTCCGGCCCCACTCCCCACGGCCATGGCCCCCCTCCGGCCCCGCCCCCCACAGCCAAGGCCTCCCTCCAGTCCCACTCCCCACAGCCAGGGCCCCCCTCCTGCCCCGCTCCCCACAGCGCCCCCTGCTGGGGGTTCCCTCCCCAGCTGGGAGAGGTGGGGCTGGAGCAGCTGGGACCCCCTGTGGCTGGCGCTCCCGCCCCGCTGACGCTGTCCTTGGTCCCAGGTGGTTTGGCTCGGTGAAGTGGAAGCGTCTGGCCCTGCGGCAGGTCGATGCTCCTACCCTGGCGCTGATGAAGCAGGTGAGGGGCTGCGGGGGGGCACCCCTGGGCTTGGTTGCCCAGTGTCGAGGGGCGATCGCCTGAGTCCTTGGAGCAGGAGTGGGGGTGGGGCTGCCATGCTCTGCCTCCATAGGGCCAGGGCCGGCTCCAGGCACCAGCTTCTCAAGCAGGTGCTTGGGGCGGCCGCTCCGGAGTATTCGCTCCAGGTATTCGGCGGCAATTCAGCAGACGGTCCCTCACTCCCACTCGGAGCGAAGGACCTCCCGCCAAATTGCCGCCGCAGATCGCGATTGCGATCACGCCTTCTTCTTTGTTTGTTTTGGCTGCTTGGGGCGGCCAAAACCCTGGAGCCAGCCCTGCGTAGGGCACCGCATCTCCCAGCATGCCATGGTGCATCACTCTGCCCACAGGATGGGGGGCCCCTGGCATGGCATCCCCCTCCCCCACGCACGCCGGCCAGGGACCCTGCAACACAGGGCGAGGGAGGTCCCTCCCCGGGGGTGCAGTCCAGGCCGAGCAGCCCACGGCTGCGGGAGCCCCAGGCAGGGCCAGAGCTGGGGGGTGTCATGGGGTGGGTGGTGAGCCAGGGAGGGAGGACCCAGGCCGAGCCCCGTGTGGGGCAGGAGGGAGCTGGAGGAGACTGAGCCCCACACCGTCCCTCCACAGGGCCCGCCCTACGCCAACTTCAAGCGCTTCTCGGTGGACTGGACGCCGGCCGAGGAGGAGTTCTCGGGCTGGGACGAGGATTTCTGAGCGGCCGTGGGGCCCAGGCCAGCAGCACCCCAAGGACTGGGGGTGGGGGGCTGGTCTGCTGATGGCCGCTGCCCTGGTGCTGAGCTGGGCACATGCCCCCTGCCCGCGGGAGGACGGAGCCCTGCGCTGGCCCCTCCTGGGCACAGGGCCCCAGCCTGGCAGACCCGCTGGTGAGGAGCAGAGGCCCTGGGCCTGTTCCTGCAAGTGGCTGCATGAGGGTGCAGGGAGCATCCTCGTCCCCTGGGCTGCCAGGCCGGGCGCGCTGGCCACCCTGGGGCGTGGCCAGCAGGGGCCGGCTGTGGGAGCTGCCCTGGGCCTGGCCCCACTGGGCTGTGGGCAATAAAGCCGCTGCAAGCCCCTGTATGACTCCATGCAGCCTGGGCCTGGTCTCTGCAGCGCTGCCCGTGGGCAGGGAGGGAGCCCCTGCGGTGCCCGGGCAGGGGACGCGGCTGCAGCTGCTCGCAGGGCCCAGGGGCTCTGGCCTGGGCCAATGTGCGGGTGGCGCTGACGTGCGCCTGGCTCTGGCAACGGTGGCTTCTCCCGGCTGCCTCTGCCCGGCAGCGCCTGCCCTGCCCTGGCCCCCGCTGGCGGGTGGGTGGGGGCACCCCAAGGTGGCTCTGCCCCTGGCAGTACTGAGGGGCAGCCGTGGGGGGGTTCACCCCACGCCTGGAGCCCCAGCTGCAGCGCCATGCTCAGGGCAGGCTGGGCGCTGGCCTGGCAGTCCTCTCCCGGGGGCTGAGTCGGGCACCCCCGGGGCAGCTCGCCCTGCGCCTTGCTCTGGTGAGGAGCCGCCCACGGCCCCGGGCTGAGGAACGAGGCGGGGCCACAGGGTACAAAACACCGTGACGTTTCTTTATTAATACATGGAATCGATGCCTGGGCAGAGCTGGCCCTGGGCCAGGGTGGGGCACCGCCGCCCGCAGAGCCGTTCATGGCCCCCTCCCTCCCATGGCTCCCTCAGCCAGGCCCAGCGCTGGCAGTGCCGCCCGCCGGCTCATCTCTGGTGCTGTCTGTGCTGGGAGGGGGCCCGGCGCCGCCCCCCGGGCGCTCTCCGGCCCTGGCGTGGGGGCGGCTGGGGTCTGTGCCTGGGGGCGGTGAGGGGCTGAGCTGGTGAGCAGGAGCTGTGCAGAGGGGCGTGGCAGGCGGGTGCCCCAAGGGTGGGCAGCAGGGCAGGAATGGGCGCGACAGGATGATAAATAACAGGGAGGTGCCCGGTCGATGTGGGTGGGGGAGGGGCCTGTCTTCAAGGGAGGGGGATCCCGGGCCCCAGGGCTGGGGTATCCCTGCAGGGGTCACAGCCTGGAGCCCCCCGCAGCAGCTGGCCGGCCTGCAGGAGACGCGTCTGCCTGAGGCCCCGGCCCTGGCCGGCCCCTGGGGTGCCTTGGTCATGAGCCCCCTGGGCCCCTGCAGCTGGGGGGTAGCTGGGAGCAGCGAGGGACCCGGGGCTGGGAGCCAGGAGCAGGGGGGCGAGGGGGGCTGGGCTCCACGGGGCTCTCGCTGCCTCCTGCTCCCGCTGCTGCAGCACGTGGGGGTGGGCTGCCGGCCTGAGCCCCCCTTTTCCCCCCATGCCAGGGAGCCGTGTCTCCTGCAGCGCCTCGGATCCCCCTGCCCCCCAGCGCTGATGGGTCATGGCCTTTGCACCCCCTAGGGCGAGGGCAGGGCTGGAGCAGGATGCAACACGCCGGAGGCTGGGCTGGGGAGCCCTGGCTCGGCCCCTCCCCTGTGCCGGGGGGCAGGGACTAGCCGACCTCGCCCCCCTCGCCCGGGTACAGCAGCACCGCGCTGAAGACGGTGAGCGGCTCGTCGGCAGAGTGCGCCAGCCGGCCCGTCACCAGGTCCACGCAGAGCGTCTCGCCCGCCTCCAGCTGCAGCAGCAGGTTGAAGATGCCCAGGGAGCCAGGGTTGGGTTGGTTCTCGGCCACTGGCTTGTTCTCCAGGCCCTCGGGCTGGTAGCCACCCGAGTCGCTGCGGGCGATGCCCTGGTTGGAGCGCGACAGCACGGCCTCGAGCTGCTCGTTCCGGTGCCCCGTCAGCACGGCGCTGACGAAGTAACGCCCAGCCACGGGCACCGTGAAGATACCTGGGGGAGGGGGTGGCAGCCCATCAGTGGGGCGGGAGCGTCCCCCCAGGGGGGCCCATCACCCCAGGGCACTGCCCCTGGGCTGGGGGCGGGGGGCTGAGCACGCGATGAGCCCCTGCTACCCCTGCCCTGGGCTCCCCACACACATCTCTGCCAGTGCCCCAATCCCACCCCACA